TTATAAAACTAACACATAATGTGTGTGTTATCATATCACAGAAGAAGCACAAAAAATTACCTTCAAAAGGTTTCCAGAATTTTTTTTTTTTTTTTGGCCACGCTACATGGCTTACAGGATTTTAGTTCCCCGACCACGGATCGAACCCAGGTCACCGCAGTGAAAGCGCCCAGTCCTAACCACTGGATGGTCAGGGAATTCCCCGAAAGGTTTCCAGGATTTCTAAAACGTCCCTGTTTCCTAACGGGAGATTTTAAAACTTAAAATAAAAACTCCAACCAAATGTAAATTTAAGCCGAATAAGGACATTAAGATAAAGATTAAGATATATAAGAAATAATATTTTGCAATGAATCTAATTAAAACCCATGACAGCATGATTAAAATGTGATTATCAAACGTAATATAAGATTTTAAAAGAATTCTTGAAAAAGACATACCCTAAAGAAAATACATAAACCTTAATCCAAAATCTCATTAAAAAATTTTTTTTTGTTTAAATCCTAGGGGTTAGGTTGAGGGCAAGAGGGAAGAAACAGAGAAGTAAACCCTATCAGAGAAGTAAAAACCTACTGAAGCTCTATTTGAGGGCAATGAGGCAGTGACATTGTACAAATTAATTTCAGCTGGCATGAAAATAGAGGTTCAAATATTACTGCTAAATTACAATGGTATACTAGAAATTTAAGTTTAGCAACGTAAGAAGTGCAATTACCAGTGGCTGCTGTACTTATTTGTACTATAAGAACGTTTTATAAAACAAGCATGTATTCATCTCTTAGTAAAAGGAAGAAACAAAGATATTTACAAAAGCAAGAAGTTAATTTGAAGAGGTCAGTCACCACAATGTGGAAATGGGAGTCACAAATAATAACAGTGCTGAAGAATAACACTTACTGAGTTTCCTAAATACTAGGTCCTCTATTAAATGTTTTACATTTAAGATTGTATCCTCACAACCACTGTCAAATAGACATTATTATCATCCCCAATTTACAGATGAAAAACCATTGGACTTGGGGAATTAAGTAAGGTGCCCAATGTCACACAACTGGTAAGTGGCAGCTGGGATCCAAACCCAGGTGTTTCTAATCCAACTGGCAAATGTCTTAACCACTCTATTAAACAGCCTTCTCAAGAGGCCAGTAGAGGCAGTGCCCACCCTAGCACAGCCCAGAAAGGATACACAGAGGAACTTGTCTGGTCCCTGAGGCAGTACTACTCCCCTTACGAAGATATGGAAGGTTTTCTGGGCAATTTCCCTTCTCGGATTCCAGGCTCACCAAGCAATTTCTGGTTTGCTCCAGCTTCCACATGGCCTGCCTGAAGGGAGATCATGGCCTGGCCAGAGGGCACACATTCTTGGGGCCCCTGGTAGGTCCAAATCTCATCGTAAATTACTGAACTTGCAACCTGGTTTTACAAATTCTCAACGAGCTGGGGTAACGCAGGTCTTACTCTCTGAAACAGGTTCTTAAGGCTGACCACCTCATTCTAGATTGTGATATTCAAGGACACACTGCCCCATGGGAGTAGTTATGCCCAGCTGATACACTCCTCTCTCACCACCTCCATCAACCCTCTCTAACATATACTTTCAAAATTAGAAAGTTTTCTAATTCCCCTTAAATTCTGTAAAGACTCCCATAGCTTCTCTTGAAAAAGTGTTATGAAACTCAATGAATGATATGCAAGGAACTTCAACAGCTCTGAGAGGACGGTGCTGTAATGACCAGCAATATTTTCCTGCAGCAATCATTTTTCCCCCCATTTTTAAAAGCCACTTTCCAGTTCAAATATGGTGGGTTTTGAAAAAAGTTGACAATCTAAGTTAACTATATTGGATACAAATATATTAACCTTTTTGTTTGTAGTTCCTTAATGTATTATCAAATACCTCACACAGTCAAAAAACAATGAAGACTGACAAGCCTCATTTAACCACACATTCAGCTTAAGCAATAAAATATTACCCATATAGTTGAAGCTGCCAGGTACAGCATTACAGTGGTATTATCGTATAGCCCTTATAATTATCATAATAGAAGTGAAATGTTATTCAACGAAGCAAGGAAAGTAAAGATTTTTCCCCCCAGCTTAAATTTGGGCAGTAGCAAAGCTTATCAGCCAAATCTACATGCTATGATAATTCTGAGTTTCCTTGACGGGAGAACACTGCAAGATAACATACCACTCTCTCTTGGTATGAATCTCCTAAGTGATGTATGGACACAAACTAAGAACAGGTGTTGCCCTGACTCAGATGATTTCTAAACAGTCATTGGGCAAGATTAGGCCTGGGCCTAAGCCATCTGTTTACATGCTACAGAGCAGAGCTTCTGGAGCTTTGAAAAGTTTCCTATACAAACTTTCTAACCATGACTGTCCTTAAATGTTGGAAATAGTGGGACGGTCTGTCCAGGGGCAAGAGATTTTCTAGAGACCACACCTGTTCCCATTTAGAGCACTCTTCCCTTCTGTTAAAAATCAGTCTCGGCTTCCCTGGTGGCGCAGTGGTTGAGGGTCCGCCTGCCGATGCAGGGGACGCGGGTTCGTGCCCCGGTCCAGGAAGATCCCACATGCCGCTGAGCGGCTGGGCCCGTGAGCCATGGCCGCTGAGCCTGCGCGTCCGGAGCCTGTGCTCCACAACGGGAGAGACCACAACAGTGAGAGGCCCACGTATCCCAAAAAAAAAAAAAAAAATCCATCTCATTATATACCCATGGCTGTATGAAGTTGCTTGTTCCTGAGTCTGATAACCTCAAACAAGGGATGGCAACTTCTCTGGGCTTCTTGACTAACAGAGAAGCAAAGCAATGCCTGTGGGTTCAGTTCAACCTGTATTTATTAAGCCCATTCCACGTGTAGTACTTTGGGTACAAAAATAAATTAACCACAGTTCCTCAAGCAGCTGACTCTAGTGGTTGTACGCAGACCTGGTGCATGAGAAAGAAATTACAGGAAAAAGAAACCAAAATAGGAAAAAAGGAAAAATGGGTGAAGGAAGCAAAAAGATGGAATGAATGCAAGTAGGCAGGACCAGTCACTGAGGTCGGCGCTCCTGGTTTACTTTCTCCTTGGGCCGCTGCATTTCAGTTTCCTTCTAAGGTTCTCCCTCTGTTCAACCCCAAGGGGTATGCTACATCGTTTTCTTCTCTCATACCATCTCCCAGGTTAACTGGCCTAGGCCAAGGATCCCCAAATCTCTTTCCTCCAGCGTGGATCTCTCACCTGCACTCCAGACCTGCACATACTTTACCTGCTCAACATCCCCAGTTGGCACCTCAAACTCAGTACGTCTGAAACTGAACTCACCACACACCTCTCCCAGCTCCCCTCAAACCTGCTCTTCCTTTTGTGTGTCTTCCCTCAGCTATATAGTCCCCACCATTTACTGGAAACCTTAGGATCCACCTGGACCCGGGCGAGTCCCTCCACATTACTTGATAGGTAGGTCCTGAATATCTCCAGATGCCACTCATTTCTCTCCAGCCCCATCCAAACCCAAGTGACTACCATCTGCACTGCAACTCTATTCCTTTCTAGTCATTTTCCAAAAGGTTCACGCTTCATAAAAACAATCACACCACACGCCTATTTAAAAACTCTTCACTAACTTCCCCACTACTTTCAGGACAAGCCCAAACCCTTTAACACGAACCCCGCATTAGGTGGCCCCTGCTCTACAACCTTTCCTCTGCCTGTGTCTTGGGCCTTGTGCAGTTCCTTTGTTGGCATAGTCTTTTCCAGCCCTTGAGAGGCCCTCCCTGCCCCATCTTCAGGTCCCAGCTCAGACATCACTCGTCCTGGGAAGCCTTCCCCTTTGCTGCCTCTCCCTGCTGTCTATAGCACCCCATCATCACATGCATCATGCCTGCTTTCTTACTGGTATCAACAGTAGGGTGAGCTCCTAGTACGTATGAGCTTGGCACTTAATAAGTCTTTAATAAAGGCTGATCAAATGAATGGGTGTTCACCAGGGGCACAGCTTATCTATTCCTGACTTTTTATGAACTACACCATTAGCAGGATTTCCAGTCAAGGCTACAACATAGGCATTTAAGTGAAATAACCCGTTCTTCCATCTTTCTCTTACCCCAGAACCAGGCAGCCAAAGACTGGAAGGGTCCTGGGTTTAATTAGAGCTCTTTTCTTCACAGGCCTTACACAGCATTTTGAATTTAAGACACTATATGGATACTTGAGGACTTCACAACTTCCTACAGACTGGATTAGGGGTTTTCTAGGGCAAACTTCCCTATGATTACTGTAACAGACTATAGTTATTAGAGCTATGGCTTTACATGCACATTAAATCACAACCACAGGCACCACCGTTATCCCATGGTTCAGTTGAAGGAACCAGAGCTCAGACAGGTCACATAACTCACGTAATGTTAAACTACTAATTGATGAAGAAACCAGAATTCAAACCGAGGCAATATGTCTCTCGAATTTTGGCTTGGCCTGTGCAAAATAATCAATGAATGTTGAATGAACGAATGAAGTCAGTAAACTATACTAGATCAGGACGACCCATGTGGCATTACACCAGAAGACCAGAACTACTTGGATAATCCAAAATGCATTCCTTTTTTTTTTTTTTAACGTGGCTTAAAACAACCATTTTATTTTGCTCACAATTCTGTGGGTCAGGAATTTGGGGATGACTTGGCTGAGTGTCAGCTGGATGGCTGGGGGGGCCCCCGAAAGGATCCATTTCCAAGATGGCTTCTTCACTCAGATTCCAAAATGCATTCTTATCTCATTCTGGATAACATTTTGGGGGAACATATAAACATTTTCAAAACTCAGGCATTGGTAATTCTCTTACGGGGCACACCCAAGCAAAGACCTCTTTGCTCTGTATTATTCCTTCCTGGTGGGGAGAAGGGCTTACAGGCTCATACTTTGAGAAGACAGTCAGCGTGCCCGATAGTAGCTGGGAAGTAAGGAACAAAGCCCGCCCAGAGAAGCCTGCAGCCTTTTCTGGGGCTTACCTCCCGCAGCTCCAGTCTCTGGGCCACAGCCTCTAGGCTCTCCTGGCCAGTGCTCTCCACGGACAGCGTGAACTCTACAAACTCATTGTTGAGCAGCTGGATCCGGGCAACCAGGCAGCTCTTGCTGGATACCGTGTAGCGCCGGGTGCGTTTTAGTTTCAATCCAAATGGCAGTGGCATCTTCTTCTCCCTTCAAGAGTTGGAGGGGTGAAAAGGGAAAAGCACCGCCACCAATCCAGTGGTGGTAATGGCGAGAGAAAGCAATCCTGTCCTGAAGGGAGGAGTACTGTACAGTCTCCGGCTGCTCACCCAGCAGCTGCTGCCGCCATTAAAAAGCAACTGAGTCTCCAAAGACCAGGTGATGGGAGCACCCACGCCAGTGCTGGGGAAAGAGGAACACCGGTTACATAGGCAATAGCAAATCTGCGCTTTGTTTTCAAAACTAAAAATTAATAAAGCTGTATCTAAGCTTTCCCTCTCTTCTGGAAAAGTAAGGCATTAGCAGGATCCGGGAGGCAGTGGGGAAATTTATCATCAGAGCTGTGTTATGCCCTGGGTCAGATTCCACCCCTCACTCAATCCCACAGATAGTGGTGACAACGTGTGGCTAACTTCAGGATTAAATGAGATAATGGCTGACACTACTATAACCCCAAATTTAGTAGCTAGCATTAGTGGTCCTCTTTCTATTTTAGATAAAGTTTTTTTTTTTCATAGTTAACTCTTTTTGGCTCCCCGATACTCCAAATATTAGGGTTCTTTAGTCCTTAAGTGAGATAATTGCAAAAAACCTCCAAAAGAGCTACGTTCAATTCTCAGTCCCAATTAGGCAAATTAACCCTGAACCCGAATGGAATAATCCCCTGTAACACATGGCAGCTGTGAGGTTCAAACGAGGTGAACACTTAACAAGCATTTGTAGAACTCTCTGGTTTATAAATATTTACGTCACTAAATCGATTTATTTATAAACAAATTATAAAAGACCCTACAAATGCTTGTTATCGGATTACCACCAGACGCGTGTTAGTTCTGAAAAGCGTGGCCCTGGCCCCGGCCCCTTTCCGGATGGGGACGCCTAAAGAGGCGGTGAGCCTTCACCTAAGCGGGGCCGCAGCCCAGAAGAGGAGGGGGGCAAGGCCCTTAAACGCCCTCCCGAGTTAACGCTGGGAGGACGCTGCTCAACAAGACCGTGAGGCCAAGAAGACTAGGGATAGCTCCGGCTCCTCCCTCGTCCTCCCCCCACGGAAAAGCAGGCGGCGTTGCCCGAGCAACCCACAGCCTCAGAGGCTCCGGAACCCTCCGCCTGCGACCGCGTTTCCGGACGGATGCTCTAGGAGAGTACAGGCTCCCGCTGATGCCGGAGGGAACACTTAAAGGACCTGGCTAGAGCCCCAGAGGCGAGGGAGAGGTTTGGGTGGGGTCCGTTTGAATCCCGATTTGGAGTTTCAGGACCCCCGCCAAAATACGCGACTTAAAACTTTTCTAAACAACACCCGTTGGTGGTACCTCCTGGGCGGAAGCAAACTGGCCTTGAGCGGCAGCTTGGAACTTTTACATTGGCTGGATTTTTGTTCCCCTAAACGAGTCGACCAAATCCCAGATAGTTCCAGAATCCCGGGACGGTTCCCACTCTCCGTTGTCTTCTGAACAGAGGCTTCCCCCGAGGATGAATCGTTTGGCAAGGCTCGGCCGCGGCTGGTTACCCTGAACTTGGGCCGGGAACCGCGCGGAGGGGCAAGGGCAGCCCCCAACCCTCTCATCTGGCGGACACAGAACTCAGGCCTCGGGAGAAGCGGCTTTCTCAGCCTCACACTAGGACGGGCTGAGTTGGGAACCGATCCCAGATTCCTCATTCCCAGTCCTCTGCCCTTTTCCGCTTTTTCTACTGCGTCTCAGCCCCAGAGGTGATGGGCACTCAGGGCTGGGGGGTGGCAGAGTTAGAGTATATAGTTTAGCTATTACACTAGGCTTTGCCAAACTTAACATTTTATAATTCCATTCCACAAAAGTGTATTGCGTCTCTGAGTACAAGGCAGTGTAGTGGCCCTTTAGAGAAATCTAAGACGAGTCCTAATAAGCCGTCCTTGCTCTTAAGGAGATTACAAGCATGCTATAATTACATACATGGCTGTATCTCTAATAAGGACCCAACCACGATTTTCTGTTTGCTTTTTGGATTTTGTTTTGGTTTTGAGCTCTGTTTATCTCCAGATAGTAAGAAAAATAAAAGTTAAAAACCAGGAATAGAGGAGGAAGGCCAGAGGAAAAAAAGAAAACTAGAACTACATAAAGAATTGTGTTAACATTTGTCGTGTACCTTTGTAAGGTAAAAGCACCATACTAAAGGGGGTAATAGAAAATAGATATTACGAAAAGACATGGACTCCACCTGCAGTTTTCAATGCTCTTTTCTATGTCAGAGTATAAACCAAATAGATAGCTGAGGCAAAATGAAAGAAAAAAAAAATCAAGAAATGAGAACTTTAAATAATAAGCTTTCAACTGGGAAATTGCCTGATAAGTTATGAGTGTTTGTATAAGTTTTAAAAGATTATATATACATATATACTAAATACCCTTTCAAGTGATTAGATGGTAAATTTTACATAGAAATTGTGGTAACTGGAAAGAGGACATTAAGTACAGAGGAAAGATGAAAATTTGCATTGGGGGAGTGTTCAAATATGGTATTCTCTTCACTGCCTTGAAGGCAGTAGATACTACACTATATAAAACTATGCCTTGTAGGCAGTAGGTACTACACTATATAACTTAATCATTAACTTAAGCTCTGATGAAGCAAACAGAGTAAAACTTTCAGTTGTCCCTGAGTGTGAAATGTTTTACTGAATCAGGGATAAAGAAAAGCCAATGTTTTCTCTTTTATTTTGGTAGATGTTATAATGTAATTGAAAAAGCTGAAGGGTGTGTGTGTGTGTATCAGATGCAATTTTTCCCCAAGATCTATCCTTAAGAATAGCTTGCTTTTTGTTTATTAAGACGTGTAAAAATAATGTTCTTAATAATTTACAAAATTAACAATTGACACATTTAATTTTCAGTTAGGTGCAGTATTTGCTACCAAATGATGTCATAAAGTTATGAATGTTTGGATAGAGGAGTAGAAATTTAAGATGCTTTGGGGGGATGTCTGTTTCGGGTGTAAAATAATATGAAACAATTTGAAAGGTAGTTGGATCTGGAATTCTAACGTATCTAACTACTAAAGTAAACAGAAAATTCATAATTAGCTTTTGAAGGAAAATACTAGGAGATATTTTGTTTCTCTACAAAATCACTTTGTTATGAAATAAAAAACAGGTATATATTAAATTCTGTTCAAGGTTTCAGAAGGCAGTCCGAGATATTTGTGAATTCATTTTAATGTTTTTACATCACCTTTCAGAAGTTCCTCAAATACAGTTTAATTCTGAATCCTGTAGTTTCCCGCCTTGTTGCTAAAGTCCTCACTACACGTAATTCTGCTAATGATGCTTTCAAATAAAACAATCACTAAATGAGTATATGACATTTTTAGAATAATATGTAGATCTATAGCATTAAATCAAACCCATGTTTCTCCTGAACAAAACATTTATGCGTAGAACTCGAGAATAAAATGTGCTAGGGACAGCAGACAACTACTTTCAGAGTAAAATTTCTATCATATCCCAAACTTAAAAAAAAAAAAATCTGTCAGCAACCATTAGGCATACAGCGCTTGTCACCTGGAGCACACGGAGTGTTTTGAACGTGTTTGCGAGCATATTATTATAAGGCTTTCTCAGCAAAAAAGAAGACGGGCATGCCAAGAGCCGCCAATCTAATCGGGATTTGCAGAAATCACAAGTCGGAATTTGCAGACCCAAGAATTCTTTTTTCCAGAGTAAACAATCTTTACACCAAAACCAAAACAAGTCATCACCACGAAACAGTCCTTCCCTACTCGCCTTCTCGCCAAAGTTACCTAGCAAATCTCGCACTTAATATTCTGAGGCACAAATATGCCTAAAACGTTTAAAACTCTGATCCAGAATTAAGCCGCTACAATCAGCCGAGGCGTTCAGAATACAAGTTCAAGACCCCTTTAGAAATTACTCAAGTAGATCAGAGAGAACCTGGAAAAGGAAGACTTTTTTTCTTTGTTACGCTCCTGCCTTAGGTCTGGGAGCCGGGACCCATCCTCCAGGACTCCGGGGCCGGCCGACGCGCTCCGGGGTCCCGGCTCGCGGACACACGCCAGCGCTCGGCCCCGCGCCCGCCCGCCGACCGCCGGCCCGGGCCCCGCGCCCTCACCTGCTCCCGCTCCCGCATCCTCGGGGCCGCGCGCCCCGTTCAGCGGCCCGCCTCCCGGGGCCCCGCCGCGCGGCCGCTGCAGCCGCGCCCGCACGCCAGCCCGCGCCGCGGCGCGCTCATGGGGCTCGCGCGCCTCACTTCCTGTCTCCCCGAACTCGGCCCGCAGAGCATTCCCCCGCGCAGGGTCCCGCGGCGGCCGCGGCGAGGGGAGAGGCCCGGAGAAGGGACACGCCGGCCGGCAGCGCCGCACAAAGAAACCGGCCGGGGGCCGGGGCAGCAGGAAGGCGGGCGGACGGGCACAGGACGCGCGGCCGGAGCAGCAGAGCGGCCGGGGCCGGGCGTCCCTCCCCCTGGGCCGGGCGGGCGGATCCGGGGAGGCGGTGGCTGCCCGTGACCTCAGAGAGTTGGAATGCGGGCGGCGGAGGCGCGGACAGCTGCGCCCGGCCGCCGGGGAGGGGGCGCGCCGCGGCTTTTTTTAATCCTATGACCACTTATTTTAAGAGTTTCCAAATAAAGCAAGGCTTTTAATAAAAATGAGAGGAGGGGGATATTATTTCTGTGCCATGTAAAGGGTTTTACTCCCGTGTTGTTCTTAGGTGTTCTGTAAAATTCTATTATTGCTGGAGTTGTTCGTTTACTCTTACACATTTCTGAAAACAGTTCAAACATTCAATTTCTTCCTCCCATGCTTACGTCTAAGGATATAGCCCATAAAAAAAGGAAAAACACTGATTGGTAGTACAGGGTGGCAAAGTCCCCTTCCCCTGAAAAGGGTTAGGCCTCAAATAACCTGTAGGTCTTCAAAAGAGCTGTATGCTTAATGCAGTACAAAGTAGAGCTCTTAAGGATGGGGAACTCCAGAGTCAAATTGGGTTCAAATCTCAGCGCCAACGCTTACTTAGCTGGGTCGCCGTGTGCGAGTTTCTTAACCTTTCTGTGCCTGCTCATCTCCTGTAAAATGATAATAATAATCATCACTATCTGGGCTTCCCTGGTGGCGCAGTGGTTGGGGGGTCCGCCTGCCGGTGCAGGGGACGCGGGTTCGTGCCCCGGTCCGGGAGGATCCCGCATGCCGCGGAGCGGCTTGGGCCCGTGAGCCATGGCTGTTGGGCCTGCGCGTCCGGGGCCTGTGCTCCGCGGCGGGAGAGGCCGCAGCAGTGAGAAGCCCACATACCGAAAATAATAATAATAATAATAATCACTATCCAGTAACTTGTGTGAAATGTTTCATTCTAAGCCCTATTAGCAATGTTTATTATTACATGGTATTATTACACTGCATTATTATTTTTATTACTGCATGGCAACACTTAAGCCAAGGAATAAAATTCTGTGTCCCTAACACCATCACAGTAGGGTGTTTCACCTTTCCTTGGCATATGGTTTGAGTGATTGGAGCAGAGAAATTTTTATTATGTAAATTTTATTTAAATGATTTTTTTAAAAAATATGTTTGTTTCTGGAAAGCTTTCTTATGTTACATTTCATTTAGATCTCATTTTGTTCAACAGTTAATAGACACTTAGTGAGTACTTACTCATGGTCCCTGCTCACAAAGGACTTCTAGTCTAGTGGGTAATAAACCTACACACCACACATACACATGACAAACAAGGCCTAAGTGGAAAGCACCATCCTGGAAGTAGGAGTGCGATGGAAGAACAAACCCCTGGCAGGACTCAGCTTGGGTAATGGAGCTCAAGGCAAATAGGATTACATGTGCTTCTATATGGAAGAAAATCAATCAATTCTGCTTATAATTGAATTTCAACTGGACACCATGAGGGGGTCAATTTGTGTGCAAAGAAAAGAGAAAATGAGTGGCTCTCTGGTCTCCCCAAATAGAAAAACTGAAATTACGTGTAAGTCTTCTCCATCTCCAGCCTATCATCAAGGCCTGCCACTTCCTCCTTTGAAACGTCTCATGAATGCTTTCTTTCCTCTTTGTTCCTGAATGCCTCCCTCCCCGCCATTCTAATCCAAACCTTCATCCCTCATCATTTTACCTGACTTACTGCAACAAGGGCGGTCCCATGCCTCTGGTTTCTGCTCTCTCTTCTTTCCATGTGAATACCAGGCTTACGTCTCCTCCCAATGGACCCCTAAGGCTAAGCTGTTCTGCCTGACCTTTAGGGCCTTTCTAAATCGGCCTCAGCCTCTTACGGACCATCCTTATTCCTCTCTTCTCCCCTACTGCCCCCATCAAACCGTTTCTCCTGGCCCAGAGCACCTCCGGCCCCCCTTCCCTTTGTCTAAGCCTTCTGTTGCTCTCCAAGCTTCAATTCAAGGCTCTGCTTCCAACACAACTTGCTAGCCACCCCATTCCACAGTGATCCCCACACTTGGCAAGAACGTTAAAAACTGTTTCATGTAGGCTTCTTTTATATCTCCTAGAATTCCTAGGACACTACTGGGCAGAGGGTAGGCACTAAATAAAAACTTGTTAATTGAATCGGGAAGAAAATAAAAGAATTTTAAAAATAGAAAATGATTGTAAAACCCAAGCGATGTTATACACTGAGCTGAACTTCCTCCCTCACAGTCCACAAGTGCCACTTGCTGACCAAGTCCTTAAGCTCTATTTTCCTGCAACCATGTTAATTTGACAGTAACAGCCCCGTGACAAGCCACTTGAACAAAGGCTTCAAAGTGTTCGGCATGAAATTATTATTGGCATCTGTTTGTATGGAAGGAAGTGAAATAATTTATATGGTTCAACCCCAAAAGATACAAAACGGTGCAAGTGAAAAGCCTCCTTCTTACTTTCCTGCTCTCCTCCTGGAGGTAACTGGTGTTACCACAATACTATGTACCCGTCTACAGAGAGCGTGTAGATGAATAAGCAATTACATATCTGTCTGTATATTTACCTCCTCTTGCTACCCAGAAGTGATATACATTCTTCTTCCTGTGAAGGTAATTCTCTTTAATACAAAGTAAACATTTAAAAATTTCTACAGTAAAAAGATGTTCAATAAAGGGAAAGAAATTGTGGTTTTGGTGGTACACTGACTGATACCTCCTTAGGGGTTAAGAAATTAATCTGCTTTGATACTTGGTGAGTACCCACTATCTCTCACTATATAAATTACTATGATGATGCTGGCAATATATTTGCTCAGTGGACAAGAGAATGAAGAAAAGTATGTCAGCTTCAGTAGCAAAAGCAATTGCTGTGACTGGAATTCCCAACACTTAAGGACTTTTGATCCAAGGGTAGACATGCCATGAGATATTCACTAATGAAAAAACTTGCCTATTCAAACCTCATCTCTTGGAAGCCAAATGCTCCAAAGAGAAAGATAAATAAGATGTATGGGGCTTCCCTGGTGGCACAGTGGTTGAGAGTCCGCCTGCCGATGCAGGGGACACGGGTTCGTGCCCCAGTCCGGGAAGATCCCACATGCCGCGGAGCGGCTGGGCCCGTGAGCCATGGCCGCTGAGCCTGCGTGTCCGGAGCCTGTGCTCCGCAACTGGAGAGGCCACAACAGTGAGAGGCCCGCGTACCGCAAAAAAAAAAAAAGTTAAAAAAAAAGATGTATGGCCCTGTTCTCAAAGACTCACCATGTGAGGAACAGGTGAATATATAATTCTAGTAGGCAAATATACTTAATGGGTAGATATTCTAAGTGGAGTGATATTCAGTTTATCACTATGATCAGCTTCTCACTGAGTCTGGAAGGAAAAATAAAAAGTTCATTAGGCATTCAAAGAAAAGAAGAGAAAAGCATTCCAGGCTGAAGGACACCCCCAAACACCTCTCTTCTGCCCTCCTCTCCCCCCCGACACTTGCAAATGATTTGCAGCACCGAGCTGGAAGGCTGCCCTGAGAGGAGGCTGGAGATGCTAGGGGGCCAGTGTTAGAAGACAACGGACTCCATGCAACTGGGGTTAGTACTCGACCTCTTTGACTTCAAAACCAATGCTCTTTTTAGTAATCTTCTCTCTTTGAAAAACAGCCCAGAGCCCTCAACTGGGATTCATTGAAATCTAGTCCTCATTGTCTCCTAGAGCAAAATATGTCATTCCACCTGAACTGGAGAGAACTTCCACGCCGGAAAATAATTCTCATTGTCCTGCTTAGTCTTTTTCAAGTTGAATACCACTAGTCCCTTTAATGGTTTCTTTCAGGCATCATTATGATCATCTTCCTCTGGATGCAATGTGTTTTATGAAGATGCATCTTACAGGGAAGCACCTGTAACAATGTCAGACCACTGAACACCATCGGTTTAGTGGGGTCATCCCCTCTGTGATCCAGAAACACTCCTGAGATCTAAATATGCAAGTTCTTAAGCAGCCTGCGAGTCTCCTTCTGCAGTTTTAAATGGATTGTCTTGAAAGTTGACTCTTTCTTGTATACATTTAAAAAAAAAGTTTTACCTATTCTGAATACATTTTAATGAAAACATTCTCTATTTTTCATAAAATGTTCTTTCACTATTATCTAAATATTGACTAAGGATTTTGTATGCAGTAATGACAAAACATGTGTTTGCATTCTTAGTTCTGAAATGGTGGGTAAAGAGATAAATATAAGGTGCCTGTCTTTTGGATTGTGAATGTTGTGAATGCAGGGACTCAGTCTCACTCATCTTTGTGCTCTGGCTCGTAGCACAGCATCTGACTCAGGGTAGGCATTTAATTTTTAATCAACAACCATAGTACTGCAATGAGCCAAGCACAGTTCGAAATACTTCCCAACTATGAACTTACCTCATCCTCATAATAACTCTATGAAGGAGAAACTAGTATCATACTTATGTCACAGATGAGGAAACTAAGGCAGAGGGGATAAGCAACTTGCCTAAGGTCTCAGAGAGGGTAGCAGAGCTGGGATTCAAACCCAGACAGCCTGGCTCCAGGGTCCCTGTTCTCAGTCACTCTGCTCTGCTGCCTCTCATCAATGTTGAATGAGTGCATGATCATTGGATTTATCCGTGAGGAATGCTTTTGTAATGTTGGTCATTAATTAATTTTATCCTTCAAATATTTAATAAGTGCTTACTAAGTGTCTAGCGTCCCCAAAGAAAATCTGGAGAAATACAGACCTACAAGGAGTTTATAATTTTGTTAGAGAGGACAAACCCACATGTGCACACACACATACACGCAAATGAGATGAACATTACAGAAAGGATAGTGTCATACTAGTAGCTCCCACATAGACATTATAGTAATTCCGAAGAAAAAAAGGATTCTATGAGATGAAGGACCGTGTGGCCGACAGACCCTAGGTGGCCTCAAGATTTCTGCCGCTGCTGTTTACACCCTTTGTAATCCCCTCCCCTTGAGTGCAGGCAGCACCCGTGATTTGCTTGCAGCTAATGAATATGCACGGATGAAGGATTTTGCAATCTAATTTTGTAATTAAGACCCTAAATCAGTTGATTTGGGGGTCAGGGTCTGGGAAGCCCTGACTTAATCAAATGAAAGCCTTTAAAAGAAGGACTGGGCCTTCCCTGAGCTGAGATCCTCTCTTCCCGGGCTTGATGTAGTGAGCAGCCATGTTGGTGAAGCCCTTGGCAAGGAAGTGTGGGCAACGTCTCTGACCTGAGGGTGGCCTCCAGACAACAGCCAGGAGTAAAGCTGGGGCCCTCACTCATAAAGCTGCAAGGAGATTAATTCCGCTTACAACCTAAATGAGCTTCAAGGTGGCTTCTTCCTCGGTGAAGCCTCCAGACGAGAACACAGCCTTCCTGACACCTCAACTGCAGCTTTATGAGACACTGAGCGGAGAGTCCAGCTAAGCTGTGTTCAGATTCCAGATCCATGGAAACCACAAGATGGTAAATGTGTGCGGTAATTTGTTATGCAGCAATTAAAAACTAATGAGACCACTTCAGGAATTAGTAGATATGGGGAGAGGGGAGTCCTCTCTCTACGCTTACTTTGATTCTAAGGTTTTACCGCGGCTCTTCTCGCGGCCAGCAGAGGTCGCCAGAGTGCCGGCTCCCCGGGCCCGAGTGCGCGCAGGCGCAGGCTTAGGCGCAGGCGCGCTCGACTTGGCTCGAGCCGGTGGGGGCGGGTCACGCAGAGCGCGCGGCCGGGAGCGGCGGTGGTGGAGGCGGTGAGGCTGCGGGCTGGGAGCTGGAGTCCGGCTCCCAGTAAGCGGAACCCTTCGCGGTGCTGAGCCCACCGCCGGCCCCGGAGCCATGGAGATCGGCACCGAGATCAGCCGCAAGATCCGGGTGAGGCCCGCGTCGGGCGGGGGTGGGAAGCCGGGCCTCAGCGGGCGGGCGGGCGCGCGGTTGTCAGGAGTAACGGGGGGTGTGGGGCCTGGCCTGGACGCCGCGGCCTGCTTGTCGCC